TCTTTCACTCTAAAGCTTCAATCTTGAAGAGTCTCAAAATGCTTAACACTTTAAAACCTGACAATTCCAATGAGTTTTTCTCTATAAATGGCAGAAAAATACACAGTAAAGTATTTTTCTAGCATTCCCATCTGATCCTAAACTAGTCATTTTAAGAAAACACTGATCTTTGAAGGTTTTTGTTTAAAGCCATTTAAAGATCATTTCTAGTGAAGCTGGATATAAAAATAAGCTCATTAAGAGCGATGCTATGGGTATTATTAAAGCTCCACAATAGTCCATCGTCTCATGCATACACAGCCTTGCATAACTGGAGATGTCAGCGTTTTCATTGTAAATTCTGCTTTCAGAGGTTTCAAACTTGCCTGTAAAAAAAGTTGCTATGGCCTGAAATTTGTTGCTATTTCCCTGCCAAAGAAGAACTGTTTTAACATTAGGAAACTATGCATTCATTGGAGTCGGCCACAGGCTTGGGGTTTAAAAAAAAAATATATAAAAAGAATAAAAACTTCACAGCTCAGCATCTTAGAAAGTTTTCTGGCTCAAAAAAAAAAAAAAACCAAAACCAAAAAATCCAAAACCAGACCCTCACTAAAGGAATCAAATTCCTAAAAGTTAATAATTATTATACCCCTTCAAAAAGCTTCAACTGTATGGCAGATAAGCCTAAAACATGCAATTATTTCTGCTACTTTGCAAAATAGTAGCCACACTGAGAGACTACTGACTCCCAGAGTCTCATCAACACAGACTGGAAATAACAACCCTACCCATGCCCAATTAGTTTGAAGCTGAAGACCATGCCCCTGCTAAAGGGCTGCAGATTTTAAACACAGAATGGACACATTAAGACTGATTTAATCTGGCTGCTTGTACAACTCCCCAGAATCTCAGCTAGCAAATCCTGTACTGGGCCAAATAACTTACTGAACCGGATCCCTGAGAGGGCATGCAGCCCTCACCCGAAGCTGTGGGGATGTCACATTCCTCCATAATGGGCTTTAATAATTGCCCTTCCTTGAAATAAAATTAAAAGGAAAATAAATTAAAAAGATAAAGCTGACTCTGAATTAAGTAATGGGCTTGAATTCTTAATTTAACTTGCAGATATCAAAGCCGCTGTTTAAGAAAGAAAAAGCCAAAACAAAACAGTCAGAAGGGAGCCCTAGGTGAACCATTAGCTTTATTTTTTCCTGCCAAACTAGAAGCAGCATTCTGGTGATTCTACACCACCTCTGTCCCAGGAAAATGATGGACTGGGTGTGCAGGGTCCCCCCAGCCCTGTGACCTCTCAGCAGGGTGGCACTGGCTGCAGAGCACCCATGGGGACACCCCAGGATCAGGAGTGGGACAGGGGACATCCCACCACCACAGCATCCCTCCTCCACACACTGGAGCACCTGACAAACCCCACATCCTGACCCAGGCAGGTCAGAGTGGCTGAAGAAGGATCTCCAGTGCTGACCACTGTGACCACAGGTGACATTAACCTTTAAGCACTGCCAACATTTTTACAGAAATGAAGGTACGTTGCTCATATGACTCAGTATTTTTGCAGAAAGGAAAGCAGTGTGCTGGACATACTTATTTTTGGATGTTGTTTAGTGTCAGCAAGTGGCTATGACTGATTAAATCCCAAAGAAAAACTCGTTACTCACTCCCACCACAAGCACACATCACCTATTAAAGAGGATCTCTCCCCTTCCTTGCTGCTCCTGGGAACCTCCCAAATATAGGACCATTCTGAACTACTGTGTTTTCCACAGGACACAGAAATAGGCTGTCCCTCGTGGAAAGCTTAAATTAATCCTTTGAAATTTGACCTAAATCAAAAAGAACTGAAAAATGTTGCCACCACACCGGGCGGGGGCTCCGAGTGGGTGCTCCAAGGACGGCGTCAAGGCATTGGGAAAGGGACCAAATTAGCTACCCAGCAGATGATAACACACAGCCTGGGCAAGAGGAGGTCAAGGGAGAGCTCACTATTTATCAAATATATGTCTAAACTAATTATTCAGTTCACAAAGTAGCCCTTCAACCCATGTGTGCGGTCAGAGCCCTTGTGAAACGCTGGCCACCATCAAAGGCCTGGGCACACACAGGCTGAGAGAATGGTGCCTTTGTACACGCTGGGGGAGGCTTATTTCTAAATATTTTGAAGCAGAAAAAGTCTTTCTGCTCCCTAGGACAAAAAAACATGTATGTAAACACTTGATGTGAGATATAATTTGAGAGCTGTCAGTCCCCACAGAAGTCCTACAGGTCCTGTTTGTGCTCACACAGCGCAACAGGCTCAGGTTTCACCATCGCTGCTTGGGAATAAGGCACCACAACCGAGATCCAGCACGCTCAGGATCCCCAGTGAGCACCCACATTATCACTCACAACGGATCAAGATGCCATTTTCAGTGTAAACACTTTCACATGGGCCAGAGTAATATCCAATGGTCCCAGAGGGATATTTATTTACCCAGGGCTGACTGACAGCACCTTGATGCACGACATCGTGCACATATCCCTGCAGCTGATCACCCTGCTAGATAAATACTGCTTAAACTAAAGCACACACTTCAGTATTTTTTATACATACCCAGATACTCTGAAGAAAATTATTGCAAGTGTCCCTAAAGTTATGTTTAGCTGAGGGAAAGTATTTTCTCTGTTACAACCAAAGGAACAAATCTCAATTCCTGTTAATGTTGTGTACAGCTTTTCCAATAGTCTGAGTCACTAAGATGATAAACAATAACGATACAAGCACCTTGTATTAAAAATAAATACATAAACACAGACAATTCAGGGCATGTCCATGAAGGAAGACACAGGAACAGATCAGTGAGTGTCACCAAAGGTCATGGCCCTGCCGACCTTCTCAGCTGGCATGAAATGTCATAGCTCTTATGACTCCAGGCAGCAGCCCCATTGAAAATTCACATTATTAGAGCACCTGACCCCCCAAATTAGCTGTGCCCAAAATGTTTTGGCATTTACTACATTAAAAAAGAAGTCTGCTTTGTCTTTGAGGAGTTCTTTTGAAAGGTATTTTTCTGGTCTGGGATTGGAGAGCTTGTGGGTGGCAGTGATAGAACCTGGAGAAGGTGATAGTGTAAAAACTTGGTTTTCTTTTAGTTTGTTTTTTTCATATCAAAGGGTTTAACGAAATACACACAGGAGGTTTTATTTCCCAAATCTCAGATATAAATCCCACACAATTCCCTGTATTCTGCAGCATAAAAACTCTTATTATGCCATTAACTTAGAAGTGTTTTCTGATTTTTTTTTTTGTTTCTGGTAATGATTTGGGTTCTCACATCTAAAATTGTTTCACATCAGTAACATTCCTGCCCAGGAAATAAGTTTTAAATCTTTTTTAACAATTTACGCTTTGATAAAACCCAGATTCCACCCCCTAAATATTCAGTGTGTAAGAGACATATTCTCAAACTGTATTTTCTAAATAAAAAAAGCTATTCTTTCCCTGAAAAGTTAAAAAGTTATCAGTCACCATTCAAAAAATATTACTCTTTTTCCCATAAAACACTTCACCAATCTTCAATCACATTCTTTCTGACTTAACCCTAAAACTAGGGGACCTTGCTACAAAGCTAGTCTTAAACCAGAATTATTCATGATTTTGAAAAGCCAGAAAGGCACCAGATGTTCAATTAACAAATCATACAGTAAGTGGCAACAAGAGTTGGGCTTGGTTTTTTTTTTTTAATCTCAGGTTACCTTCAAAAGAAAAAAAAAACCCAAACATTTTTGCTACCCACAATCTCTGTGGCTGACAAATGACAATATTGCTGTTCCTTGAGAATTGTTTTCAGCAATGCTTGCTAGGGAAGAGGGCTCATCATCTCTAAATAGTTCATCCCCTGCCATCAATAAAAATGTACTTGGAGCAGATTCTAAAAATGCGTTAGCTGGTGACGTCTATTTTTAGAGGCAGAGGATAGAAACAAGTTTTGCATGAAGAATTATTAAATAAAAACGAAGCTGCATCCATGGACATGAGTAGCAGAATGAGTAAAGGCCAAACTCTTTGCAGCAGGCTTGCCAGGTCAGAAATGCTCTGTGGACTATTAGATCAGCTTGACAGCTGAGTTATTAGAGCTGTGATCACTCCTCCAAAAGACAGATAGAAACTTATGAAAGAAGCCTCACTTCCTCCCCCTGATGCTCAGAGAGCAGGAATGACCCAGCACAATGCAGCAAAATCATGGTTCAATACAATCAGCTCACAACAATTAAAAAGCAGCCCCCCCATGAGCTCTCCAGAGAAGAAAACCACTTTGCAGAGCTTGAGGAACAGATAAACCTAGAACATACCAACAGGTGCAGACTCAAAATAGGAGATTTTATCAAAGCACCTCTTTGAATGTGAAGGTCTAGACTGGCCTTTGCTCCCAGCAATAAAGTACAGCCCTTCCATTGAGATCCCCACATTTACACCTCCAGGACCTGTGATCCAGACACGGCACCACCCACTGTGCTTGGACATTAACAGCAACAGGGAAGTTTGTCCCGAGTACAAACACCAACAAAGCTGCAACAGCATTTTTGCAGAGTGCCTGGCAAAACTAAACATTCACAAATAAAAACTACTGAGATTCATTTTCCTCAGGTTAAGACAACCCCAAAGCCACTCATCCACTTGGTTCCTTGAGACAGCAAAACATAGCAGCACCCAAGTGCCACAGACTGGTTTCCTTAAAGACCCATTCCTGAAAACTTCCATCTGTACACTTTGATTATACAACGTGATGACAGTCCCAAGTGAAATCACTGACACCACTGGCTTGCACAAGAATAAACAAACGCACGCTTGTACAAACACAGCCCAGGCGAGAGCGGGGGAAGTCAGAAACCGTAACTCTCCAGGGCTGGTCTGTTACTTGCCTTAGATTTACCAGAGCACATGGAAAGATGTTGACTTCTAGTTCAGATGTCCACTTCAAATTAACTTCTTTTAAAGAATTAAGTATTCTAGAGTGATTTACCTTCGGGTTCCACCGTGGTGTCTTCAACAACTAAATTAAACGAAGGTCGAGCCAGGGAAAGTCCAGCCATGGTGACCACCACCAGGCAGATAAGGCAACCCGAATCCCAGCTGACCATCTTTTTAGAGTAAATTCCTGGTCCATTTCCATATCTCCATGTGGACTTTAATCCCATCTGAACACCTCTAGAGAAGCATGGAGAGAAAGCCGTGCCTTCGGCCAGGGTAATGCCTCCTCCCTTGGAACGACGGCTGCTGCTGCAGGGAGGAGAGAGATTTAACACTGTCAGCAAAAACATCTCCAAACACAAACCAAAAACCTTCATAAAGCCTCAAACAGAGCTGAGGTGAGAGGGAGGGGAGGAGGAGGATGGGAAAAATAGTTTTCCAGCTTCAAGAATATGTGAAAAGTGAGTGACTTTTCATCTTCTGTTAGCAGTTTCCATCATCACCTGAGGCGTAACCAAGTCCTCCTTGTTTTCACAAAATCACTTCTCAGCACATATTGAGAGCTATTTTACTGACAGAAAAACATACAGGATTTCAAAAATGAGGGGCACACACATGTGCAGGCACATAACCTGTAATGCTACAAAATTACCACAATTATACAAATTATATTCTTGTTATTGTTTGAAAGTTTATGTAAGTTTGCCTTGTTTTTCATTCCTTCACCTAGGCAGTTCTGCAGCCAGATGAATTTGCAGGAATCCAGTAATTTTCCACAAGTAAAATTGAAAAATATACTCCTCAGGCTTGGAAAAATCTGTAAGACTATTTCAGCTCAGGACTTCCAGCTCCCCCATGGATACAACTTTTCCTGACTCAGTTTGGTGTCCTTTGGAAGCCCTGAGTCCTGGACAGGTGAAAGGCTCAAGTCTTTGCAGTGATATTGGTTCTCTACACTGTATTACAGACAATTAAAATCTATATAAAATATGACATAAATTGTAGTTTCACAGGAAACCTGCCCAGCATCACTTTGCATCCATACATGCCAAGCTGTGTGCACAAACTTTTCTTTCCTCAGTCTCTCAATAATGCTTATTGAGATGTATTTTTCAAAAGGGGGGGAGGGGGGAAGTCTATTTTATTCACAATAAAACAAGTTTAAATGGATGGAGATAAGTGATAATCCAGGCATGGTCTGACAGAGAAGAGGCACCAAAGGAACTGGCACTCTCTTCAGGGGACCCTGTTGCCTCTACACAGAGATGCCAGGTGAGGGTCAGGAGAGCATTCTCCTCACAGGGTGATTTAACAGCTCAAGCAGAAAATTAGACCTGATTTTCCGCTTCAGAAATAAAAGACGGTAAAACCTCAGTAAATGGATAAAACAAGTAACTGCAGCAATTGTTCTAATCTGGTCAATGATTCATCTTAGATGTGATGAAACCAAACTGAAATATGGAGAGGTCTTGTCTGGAAGGGGAAAAAATAACACAAAACCTCTTTTTCCCTCCTGCCCTCAACACTCGAAAATTTTAAAAAAAATAAAAAGGAAGGGAGTGTGGCTCTAAAGTCAAACTTCTCCAAACTCCTTGTCATTGGGATTTGGTGTGGTACCTCAGCATGCAGAAACAGGAACACAAATTCTCCTTTTACAAAGCCAACCACTTAAAAAGTTGATTCTGACTTCTATTAGCCTTGTGCTAGCTGCTACAAAGTTCACAAATGCTGTTCAGAGGCATCTTTTGTCTTGGGTACTCTACACAGTAACTACTGGAGTTGGTAGGAACAGGTTTTGGATGACATAAAGAAGTCACTCGAGGAAAAAAAATTAATACATGTTATCCCAGGTGAATCCCTGCTACTTCAGGGCAAGCTTTTTTCACCTCCCTTAGTATCACCTCAAAGCCCTGTCCCTCCTGTAGAGATTCCAGCCTGGCTCCAGCATCCCAGACCACAAGCTAGCAACTACCATTAAATTTCCAGTGAAAACACCACCAGACCACTGCACAAACATTTGCAAAGAGCTTGCCCAGCTCTTCTCTAAATAAGCAGAGAGCAGGTGTAGAGCTGAAGAGGGCTCTGTCTTTGGGACCAGGTTGTGTCTGGAGCAAACCCCCCTGGATGTCACCACCCAGGTCCGCTGCCCACCTCGCTGTCTGGCAGCCACAGCCCTGCAGCTCAGTTTATCCAGCTGCAAAGTGGGTAAAAACCCCTAATCAACAGCCTGGATGTAATGCTGATTTCATTTCCATAAATCATCCTGTAAACTCCGATTAAAGTCTGCGTTGATAAATGCAAAATCCTATCACGGTTTTGCGGAAAGAAAACATACCAGAACGCCAGCATGTATTTCAGTCTCCAAGAGCATTAATTCCACTGACATTCCTGCAGTTTCAGATTCTCAGACTACATTAAATGCCACTGAAAGCACATTTGTGGTTCCTATCCTCATCCTAAATCCTGAAGCGCGGCACGGGGCTGCTTGGCCACGCGTCTCCTCACCTGAAGATTTTTGTTGGCTCCCGCACCTCAACATCTGCCGGCATAAAGAAGGGATTCTTCATCCACAGAGCAGCAGCAAACTCAAAATCCTGGCTTGTGAAGGTGCAACAACACAAAAACCAAAGCTCTGCACCCATCCATGGAGCCAAACCACTCCTTACCACCAGGACAGCAAACAGGCTTCAAGGGTTGCCCTCTCCCAAAAGAAGTGGAGTCCAGCGAAGATGAAACGAAAGCAAATTCTTCTCATAGTTTAATTGCCACAGTTGCTGGGGGACGAGTCCCTGGAAAGACCTCCTGTGCTGGATAATTATGTACCTCTATCTCAATGTTTGGAACACAGCCCCAGCATGCTTTTTGGCCTCCACAATTCTGGCTTCCTGACTACAATACCATAATCCCTCCTGGAGTCTCAGACTCAGTGAAAGCCACACGTAGTGTTTATTTTTCCCCTTGAAAGGGAACTCTGTCTCTCTTCTCAGCCTACACTTTGGGGAGGAGTTGTCAGCCCCCAATGATTGATGGCTCTCCTTGCCACTCGCTCATCAAGTCAATTTTCACCTCGTCACATACCTGCCCAAATTTTCTTTGCCAAACTGACAAGCATGGGAAAGCAGACTGGTTTGGGAGCCCAACCAAATTCCTCCAAGCTGTACTTCAGTTTAAACACACTCGCACACACAAACAAGTACTACTTGTTCAGCAGTGGCATTAATTAAATTCAATGCTCAGTGTTCTTTTTAATCTACTTGCATTGTTGTTTATAAGATGTTTATCACTCCCCAGGGACAGCACGATTTGTAGAGTATGTTAACCAAATCAATACATTGCTCACGGTAGAACTTTTCAGCATCTTTCTCAATCAGGCGGGGAATAGCAAAATCTGAGCGAAGTATGCATCTTCCCTCCACAAAGAAACCTCAAGCGCTCTAAAAGCCCAGTAGCTTCATCAGAAACATCCAGGTAGATGAAGCTTTAAAGCTAATAAGCTTTATATACGTACACAATTCCACGGAGAGAGGAATTCTGTATAGACAGAAAATGCAGAAGCATACATCCGTCTATAAAAATACATATACACATATATATCTAACAAGACTCTTCAGCATAGCTCAATCTCCAAGCAAATCTGAGCATCACAGCTATTAAACATTAATTCTGGAGGACTAATGGGAACCGGCTGGCAGCTTCAGTACTTTTTCATTGTTTGAACTTCTTTCATTTGCTTTCCAGGACTATCTTGTTTTTCTCAAGTCTTTTGCCACCAAGAGATCGGGGAGGGGTGGGGGGAAAAAATCTGCATTTTAATTGACATTCCAGAGAGCGGGAGAAGTCCAGAGGCTGCTGATTGCTGTCTATTCAGCCCAAACAGGCTTTTCAGATGAAAATGAGAAAAGGCTAGTGGAAGATTTACAGGGATTTGGTACAAAGGAGACAATGAAGTTTTAAATGTTGATAGCGTTTCACACCAAACGCATAATGGGTCCCAGTTTGAAGGGGCCGTTTTGCATTTAAATATATATTTCATTGAGGATTTCTCTCCGCGCTTATCTCAGCCGGGGCGGTTGTGCCCCGCGGCCCCGCTCCCGCAGCACGGCGGGGCAGGAGCGGGCTCCGAGCCGGGGCTGCTCCTCCGGGAGCGAGCCCCCTTCCTCGGCCCGTGCTGCCCGTGCCGCTGTCACCGCTGGAGCCAT